ACTCTCCACCATTTGACCTTTGAACTGAAGAAGCTTCTCGGATGAGAGGTGAAACATCTTCAACTAACTTAATGAAGTCCAGACGCTTTTCTTTGCAAGCTCCTTTGATTCCATCAGCATGCAACTTTTCACAAAACATTCACTATCAAAGGATCAAAGACTCATGTGTACAGTGTAACCAAAATGTTTTCTTAATATGTGTCTAATATATGAAGTGGTGTAATTCTGATAAAAAAACAAAACCAATTCTTTAGCTGTGAGTTAGATAAATGTAGCTGATGTTGGCACATGGGTGTGAGTTTGACTCTACAAGCCATTCATTCTCTTTTTCACCAGTTCTTCTCAAAAACCCACCCTGAAGAGCTCAGAGCGTGGTTGGTGGATAGTTACTATGACGATACGGTCTCTCCTGGCCAGCTCTGCCAACAGCACTACAATCTGATTGGCGGTCATGCTGTCCAGACCAGTGGTCGGCTCATCCAATAGGATCACCCCTGCAACGACAGCATCCCAATGACATCACTGCTGTCACTGCAGGTTTGTCACGCAGTGAAACACTGAGAATAAGTGAAAGGCAGGACAATAACTTTTTCCTTCTAAGTAAAAACTCTCAGATGTACTTTTTATTAAGTGGCACATTGCAGGACTCTCTGTGGGGCCGACTTAACTTGCGGAGATAAGTGAGTTCTCTTTTTTTTAGTTAATTACTCTAATTAGGACAATTAAAAGATTGGCTCTTCGCATTACGAAAGCAGAGTGGAATTAGCAGATACTTTAATTGTGAGATTAATTCATTTCCTGGTTGATTGGAGAGTCACCGAATGGGAACTCCTCATTACTCTGTGTGTGACTCTGTGAGTGTGTGTGAGTGTGTTCATGGGCATTTTAATCCTGAATGAGGACTGAGACCCTCCATCCTCCCCAGAGGACTGAAGTCCTGATAAACTACACCTGGGATACACACACACACACACACACACACACACACACACACACACATACACACACACACTGAAGTGGGCTTCTGCTCATTCCCCTTGCGGTGTGATAACCCAGTCCTTTATTACTCTTCTCCATCTCTCCCTTTTCTCTGTCTCTTCTGTCTCACTTAGATCCTTTTGTTTTTCTCCAGTGTGGACTTCAAAACTCTTCTGGGGAGAGACAGGTTATGTGGTGAACTTTCCACTGTTCTCATGCGTCTGATCCTTCTGCCTCCCTCTGCTGCATTCTCCCACAGTCGTGGGAAAAAAGAAAGTTTTCACGGGACTATATGCAGTCCTGTTTTGGCAGTTTGCTAGTCTGACAAACAAGCAGCAGCAAATCTACAACAGAATGACTGAAAAAGAAAATAATCAAGGTGGTGCAATGGCCCAGTCAAAGTTCAGACACAACCTCATTGAAACTTTCTTTTTCACGACTCCACCAAAGACATATTTTGAAACATTTTATAAAAGCATGTTATGTATAATCCTTTTCTTTTATCTGCCAAAGTCTTTGAAAATCACTTCTAATCCCTCTTATTATCTATTTTACATCTATTAAAAGTGAAGATTTGAGTGATTATTAATGACTTTTACTCTGCGTCACCTCATTATTTTGATTTAAACCGACAGCAAATGTTTGCTTTGGAGGAAATAGGTTGGCCAGAGATGAACTTGTGTAAATCTCCTCAGGTGTATCTGAGGTGCACTGGTACTCACTTGGGTCCTGAAGTAACTGACTGGCAATGGAGACCCTTCGGCGCTCACCCCCGGAGATCCCAGGGAAAACCTGACCTCCAATAACACTGTGGGCCACGTGACTAAGGCTCAGCTCAGCCATCACTGCTGACACCTACATGGGAGCCAGAGGTCAAGGTTCAGGTGAGACAAGAGTTACAACTATTAGCAAATCTACTAAAAAAGGGCCTGCAGGAGATATCATACATTGATCAGCTAAAACTTTGGAATAAAATCCCCTCATTATTATGAAAAGATTTGCTGTGAACTCTTTAGATAATCACCCTGCTCATGGGAACAATACTAAGAAATTTGCTCAGGGGTTTGAGTCTGACCCCAGCAACAATCTACACAGTCTAAAAAAATAATGTTCAAAAGAACAAGAAAGAAAAAACTAGAAGCAACCAGCACCAGAAAAAAACTCATCTTGTTTCCACTTTAAACTTACAGGATCCAAAGGACCCACTGCTGGTGCCAAGCACCACATGAGCTTCATTAGACCTTGATGAGTGTATTTGATAGCTCCACAAGATTAGGAGAAGCAATATTTTCCTGTTTTTACAGTTTGGAAATATTTCAGAGCGAGGGACTCAAACAAAATATTAGGCTGAGAACAACTGACCTGCCGTTCTTAAATGTCAGGTCAGGTACTCTTTTTTTAAAAATGGGCATTTGCAGCATTTATGTGCTGTAAGCAAAGAGATCTGTAACAAATTGTAACACATTCTCAGTCATCTTGATGCTGCACATGACTCTCTGTGAAGCAATAACTCAGCCATACTTAACTAACCTAAAATATAAAACAACACAGCAATGCACCTTCTAAGATTAAGCTGATCATACAAATAAGCACTGAAACTGTTTGTGTGCTGACATCTTAGTGGATGCTGATATCCATCAGCCTGTAATTTATTTATTTATTTATTTTTTGGGATATGTTCTGTAGCAGGCAGAGATGCCAGGTTTAAGAAAATAATGAAAGAAATGCCCAGACGCAGCTCTAAAGTCACCTTTTTCTTGATAGCTTCAGCCGAGCGTTTCCGCAGGGCCAGCTGAGCTGTGTAGGTCAGAGTCTCCTCCACTGTCAGATAACTCAGCAAGTTATCGCTCTGGAAAAGAATGGCAGAAAGAGAAAACAGGGCATTAACAGAAAAGAAACTAGACACAAAAAAACACTGTAAATTGTGATTTGGCAGCCTTAAAACTAGAAACTACCACCTCTATTCCTCAAGGAGATGGATTAAGAAAACATCTCAGTATTTCTCTTGAGTGGTCATCAGTAAACAAATGGAAGTATATGTTTGGACTGGATACTTTTATGTCACACTCTCTCCATCTATAGCATCTTTGTAGCACATCCCCGTACAGTGAGCATATATCCTCACAAACGTCTATGTTCATATATGCCAGTGCGACCCATCTGTAATATACCTTTGCCTCAGATGTGTGCACACGCACAGGCACAGGCGCATGACTTAAACCAGCTGAACCTGCTGCCTGCTTCAATTAACACATGGCGCCTCCCAATCCCACTTCTCCTTATTCTCTCATCTGAATGACTTTAATATGAGGAGCTCATATCACCTCCTCATCTACAGCTTAGCGGCGGAAGTTAATGACGAGGCTTAGAGAGCAGAAGGGGGAGCTATCAGCTAGAGGGGAGAGATGATTTGAAAAGAAGCAAGGCTGGTTTTAAACCAGTGTTTTTAATTCAGGCTTTGGATACACTTGAGCACCTCTCATTGCGAGATTACATATATGAGGAGGCTATCAGGGGTCTTAAGTTAATTTCATACGGAGGCCAGGGCAGCTTTTCAGGAGTTACTGCAGAATGTTCATTGAGTTTGTGGCGGTTTGTACAACCACAGGCAAAACTAAATACATACAGGCTATGTGCATGAGGCCAGCTGCAGTTGAAACTGTAGTGGAAAGTTTAATGAGTGTTTGTGTGAACTACAGGAAAGTGAAATGTGCATGAACTTATTTGCTAATTACTTTAAACTCTGTTCAGTCTCCCATTAATCATTTGTCTAACACGTCCACTGCTGGGTTTCAACTTCTGTTAAGTGACAATTGTGACAATTCTGAATTGGGAATAAATTTTCCTTTATTAGAAGTCATGTAATTTCAACTGCTTTGACTTTTTGTTTGTTATCCATCTGATTGTTAGCAGGATTGCTCAAAATTTAAAAGATGGGATTGGGCCCATCTTTTAAATTTCATTTGGGTTTCAATCCATGAATTCTTTACCATTGTGAAGGTATGTCTTACTACTATGCACACACTGACACTCTAATGGATGTACTGGAGTCAGTTTGGGGTTCAGTATCTGTAATGTTTGGTGAATGCCTGTGGACCCTCTTTTGACTTGTGTAGATGTAGCTGGAAATTATTGTATTTATTTTTTTGTGAAAAAAAAAATGTTTAGAGGCTTTTTGGACGTTACTAAGGATTCAGTTTGTCAAACTGATATTTTATTTTAGCCTTACCCTTGCCATCCACTCGTGTGAAGCGGTCACTAGCTAGCATGCACATCTGAGGGTGTGCGAGAGTATGCAACTTAATAAATGTAATATTAATTAATAATAAACTTGAACAGTAATAGAGGAAGTTTTTTGTTGAACCGTTGATCACTCAGGTGTGCAGTGATTTTAAACCAGGGTTCAGTATTTACACAATGACGCTTTGGCCAAATATTGAACGTGAGGATCCAGTGATCGAACCACTCGAACTCCTGACCCCCAAAAAACTGATGTTGTGAAAGGATTAGAATCCGAAATTTGAACAAAGTATGGAGGTCATGCAGTCTTAGATCGCTTTTCTTTTGTTTCTGTGTATATTATTACCATTTAAATGTGCTTTTTATGCAGCTGTTTAACATTACACAGTAAATTGTTTATAAATGTACATGTTTTTTGTAATAAAGAAAAAGAAAAGCATATGACGAGTTTAAAAATGTCAAAATTGATATGGTAGTTAAGGATATTAAGCAACCCAAGGGTTTTATTAACTTAAACAGAGAAACAATTTTCTTATAAGTGTAAATAAAAGTCTGTTAATTTAACTTAAACACAATTGTTGTGTTATTTTAACATTTATTGTATGTAATTTATGTAATTTATGTAATACCTATATGTAACCTAATAGTTATTAACACATAATATTTTATATGTTTATAATATTAACACATATAACACTATGTAATATTAACATTAATATTACTTTTAATTATTTATGAATGTTTATTATATCAATATTGTATCTATAGAAATGCAATTCTGGGATAATAAGTAATAGCTATGAGTTAAATCTTGATGTGTGGACGTTTCTTTGTCTTACTTGCAGCACATAGGAGAAGCAGTCCTGATACTGCTCTTGCTTCAGTTTTCTACCATTAACGAAGACTTCTCCCAGCAGCGTGCCCTGGTTCCCAATCCGCCCTGAGATGGCATCCAGCAATGTGGTTTTTCCTGAGCCTTTATTATGAAAAGTGCAGATAAAGACACATATGCATAAAACACTCATGATTTAACTGATTTTTAACGCTTCCTGATAAAAAAATGTTGTATTTCTTTTTCACTTTAAACATTTGGCTCTTGCATTGAACTGAACCTCGAACCTGAGTTGCCCAGTATGCCCATGATCTGCCCACTGTCAACATGAAAGGAGACATCATTCAGGATCTGACGAGTCCATCGTTTCCTGTAGGAGGGTAAGTCCCACCACGGACCCACACGTTCACTGTGAAACACATGTATATATGCACACACGCTTAAGGACAAGGACAGTATTTTTGATATTAGTATTTTATTTTTTTCAACACGATGTCTATCTCGGCTGTGGGAAGAATCAGCTCTTTATGAACAATCAGATAATCAGACAATCACAGTCAAGTAATAATGAGTAAATTAAGTTAAATTCTCTGAGTCTGTTTTTGAGTTACTCGTGTTGGTTGTCAGCAGCACTTACCTGACTGTGTAGGAGATCTTTCTGACACTTAGAGAACAGGTGGGCTCTGATTGCTCCTCTCTGCTGTCTCTCCACACATCTTTCTTCACCTCCGCCACAAACCTGAAGGACTCTTTTACTTTCCCGTTCTGCGGCTCCTCCGTCTGCATTGAATAAAATCTGTTCATGTCTCCTCCAGGTCTGTGTCAAATCTGTTTCACATCAGATTGTTCATATTGTTTCAGTCCCAGACTTTGTCTTCTGCGCCTGTTGCCTGCACACAGCAGAAATGCGAGATCAGTAGTGACTCTCTGGAAGCGTGAGCGCAGCAAATGTCATGTTATCTCAGAGAACTTTGATCAAAGGTTGTATAATGAAGACAAAAAGCACACATGCTAAGTCAGTTCACAGCCCTTCAGTCTGGACTCAATCCTCGTATTGTCGGCTGCGTCCCAAAAAAGCTGTGACTGACAGGATAAAGCAGAGGGCGAACTGACATGACATGAACTCGGATGCTTCAAGAAGAAAGAATTGTGAACTAGAAGGGAGAAGATCTTCAGGAGGACGTGAACAACTGGAGACACAAAGCAGCAGACAGAGAGGAAAATAAAGACCCTAACAGAAGAGGAAAAGAGGAGTATTGACCTCTCTAACCTGCAAATTTTAACCATGGACAATGGCAGTGACCTTATACACACAAACGACTACTCACAGGTCTGTCAGGTCAAAATATGCAAATCTTAGCTCTCCTAAAGAAAATGACCAATCCAGGTCTTAACTTTGTGCTGTTTTATTTTATTTATAGCCCTACCAGCCATTAAACTCCTCTCTTTGACTGAGTATAACATGGGATTTTATTAACTAATCTGAAGTAACCTAAATCAATTTATGATCACTAGTGTGCTCAACCAGTACTAGAAACTTTACTTTACGTGGGTTTTTTTGTTTTTTCTTAAAAAAAACCAAACTTATTTATAATCTTGAAGAACAGAATTTGATTGATTTCCTAATATATCATTTTAACATTTTGCTGAAAAACTGGAATTTTTCCCTGAATGCACTTAAGTGCAAATTAATTTAGAAAAAAACTGTAATTTCAAATAGGAAATGTTGAATTGGATAATTGGTTGGAAAAATACATGGATGGATAGATGGTTTAGCAAGCTCTGTTTTTCTCCTATGTCAGTTTCTGCATCTGGCATGTTCTGGTTGCAACGGCGGGATCAGCAGTGACAACATTTCCAAACTCTATGATGCATTTTGTCGAGATAAATATCCTTAAAAATGCGACCAGAATGCTCTGAAATCTGGATGTTTATGCAATGAGAACCCAAATGAACCATTTAACGTTATTTGTAAAATTATTTAACTCATTAAGTCCAGAGTAGACTGCTTCAGTACATGAAGTCTGGTAGGCACTAAGGTCACGATCACACCTGGTACCTTTTGCCTTTCCTGGTGTCATTACACTGGCTTCCTGTTCAGTTATTATTGCTTAGCTATAACATGTCCACTGCTGGGTTTTGTTTACTCAAGCATAAAAAAATGTTTTTCTATCAAATGGCCAGAAATGCATAAACTTCTGTTAAGAAGGCAACGCAGACTCACTGCTTAAATATGCTAACCCCAGCAAACCCAAGTTGTTTGCTTGCCAGCAGCTTTTACCAGTTTCAGACCAAGCTTTCCCAGTTACAGCACTGAAATCCAGGTCCTTTTTCCTTCCAGTGTTCAAATCAGGATTTGTAACATATTTTTGATCGTGCCCAGTTAAGTGTCTCATTAATTTATACATTCAGTAAAATATCAAATTATTTTTCACTCATTTGTTTAATGGCTTAATTTGGTTGTAAATGTATTAATTGCGTTCTTTGTTTTATTACGTTCACGACTCACATTTTCACATCTATCTGATGTCCGACCTCGTTTTGCTATACAATGAAAAAAAAATCAGTAAAAAAAACCAAATATGTATTTGTTTTTTTCAGCCAGTACATTATTATTTTATAGAAGCTTCCATGAGTGATAAATGATCAAATTTGATGTGTGGCTAAAAAAGTCGTTAATTTTAAAACAGAACTGTATGTTATAATCTACACCATGTAAACTAGATTAAGTGGCAGGATGCTGTTAATCTCAATTTGAACATTTGTATTTTTTTTCTTCTGCAACTGAACTATTGGGTTTATTTGAAATTGGACTCTGGTCACACAGGCAGATATTTGCACATACAGTACAAACAGACACACGCAGGTAGACAATCAAACACACAAGTTAATGCGTGTAACAATTTTTTTCCATAAAAGACTAAATGACAAAAGACAAAATCACATTTTCTAATCACATCCAACTAACGTGTGGCCACAGGTTTATTATCTACTGTACTGTTTGTTGTTACTAACTAAACCCAATTTTGTGGTGTAAAATCAGCAAATCTGTAATTCTGATTTGAAACTTTGAAATAAGAACATCTTGTTTCTCATAGTTTTTAAGGTATATATAGGTCTATATATAAAAAAACATTTAGTACATGTATCCTGGTCTGTATGAAACTTATTGACTTGCTTGCTTCGCATTAACAGCATCAAGACAGAGAGTTATTCTCATCTGAGGAGGACAGCAGTCTCTACTTCACCTACAGTGGAGGCTGCAATGTGCTGGAGGTCAAAAACCTTTGCTATGAGGTAACTATAGGTCACCTGCTCTTATCTTACATGAGTTTTCTCAAGCTCCTGACTGGTTCATGTGTATACATGCTGCAGGTGTTCATCGTGTACATGTGTTTATGTTCACAGGTGGATACAGCAGCTCAGATCCCGTGGTACGAGAGGCTGTCAGAGTTCAAAATGCCGTGGGAAATTAAAGGAAATAAGCAGACAGCCATCAACAAGCTGAGCCTCACTGTCCACAGCGGACAGATGCTGGCCCTTATTGGCAGCTCAGGTGATGCACAAAGATTTGAAGTATTGCTTTATTAAATAAAGTAATAGATATGCTTTGTTCCACCAGAACAGTAAAGAAAAAACTGCATTTTCTTGAAGAATAAATGTGTGTTAAGTAAAAATAAGTAGAAAATCTGCTAATTTGGAAGACTCATAGATGCATTCCTCCGGTTCTATATTGCTTATGGTTTGTTTTTTTGAACATAAGCAAAGATGAGAATGTCTTAAATTCAATATGTTTTCAGGTTGTGGTAAAACGTCTCTGCTGGACATAATAACTTGTCGGGATGAAGGAGGCATCATGAAGTCCGGTGAGATTCTAATTAATGGGAAGCACAACACGCCCCAGCTCGTCAAGAAAAGCATCGCTCACGTCCGCCAAGACGATCGGCTTCTTCCTCACCTCACCGTCCGAGAGACTCTCTCCTTTGTTGCCAAACTGAGGTTGCCCACTCACTTCACACAGGCTCAAAGGGACCAGAGGGTAAGATTAAGACTGGTCAATAAATGGGACTCAAACTATTTCCATAACAGTATTTGCATGATTGTTTGGACTGGGAGGTTCTTGTTTATCCATTTTATAATAGAGCCGTTGTCAGCATGTTTATCACATTCTCGTTAAGGCATGCCCTTTTAAACTCTTCAGAGTTTTTGTTGAACAAACACGTGTTAAATGATAAGAATGCTTGTATGTGTCCAGATAACAATGACTAACAGTGTCTCTGGTCGCTGTCTGTCACAGGTGGATGATGTTATCGCAGAGCTGCGGTTGCGGCAGTGTGCACACACCAGGGTGGGAAACAACTACATCAGGGGGGTTTCTGGTGGAGAGAGGAGGAGAGTCAGCATAGCTGTCCAGCTTCTCTGGAACCCCGGTGAGCGATATTAACACAGAGATTAATTAATGTGGTCCCCTGAACTGTCATTTATGTTGTTAAGACAGGGCAATGACTCAAACTGAAGTCCCAATCCAAGCAGCAGCTTTTATATATGGCACACTATTTTAATTGTGTCCTCTACAAGCCACTTTGCAACCCACCTCCAGTGCCTCCTTTCCATTTAGCATCTGACTGTAATCAGTGTCATATATGTTGTCTTTATTGCAACTTCTAAAGTTACTATAGATATAACATTTTTAACCTTTGTGTTTATGCGAGTTTTAAATGTTTCAGCTCTAAACAGGGTATTTCATACCATTTCTGAACATCTATAAACTACTGAGAAGTGACACGAGTGTAACACTTCTTCCTGTGAATAACAAACACATTTGACTAATTACTGACTTTAACAATCATGATTCCTCTGTTATTTTCGAGCTCATACTGTTAAGATCTGTTATATAAAGAACAGGGTTTATCAGAGGTGATAGATTGGTCTATTTCCCCTCTCAGGTATTTTGATCCTGGATGAACCCACATCCGGTTTAGACAGCTTTACCGCTCATAACTTGGTGATCACACTGTCCCGTCTGGCTCGGGGAAATCGTCTGGTCCTGCTTTCAGTCCACCAGCCTCGATCAGATATCTTTCAGCTCTTCGACCTCGTCGTCCTGATGTCTTCAGGTTCAGCTGTTTACTGCGGTGCAGCTCGTGAGATGGTGCCTTACTTCACTGCTCTGGGACACCCCTGCCCACGATACTGCAACCCCTCTGACTACTATGGTTAGTAAGTGTGTCAAAAGAGAATTAAGATGTGCTTCTTCCCAGCATGCAATAACATCTTCTTACCAACCCCATGCTCACTGGTAACTTAAGGAAAGCTGGGACCCAACAATTTACCACTAATTTTGCAAAAGAAGCATTTGTTTTCATCTTAATGATAAATACTACATCTCTTTGTGTTTTTCATTCTTTTAAACCTATTTAAGCCTCATGTTGTTGGTGTCCTGTGTCCTTTATGTGTGTGTGTGTGTGTGTGTGTGTGTGTGTGTGTGTGTGTGTGTGTGTGTGTGTGTGTGTGTGTGTGTGTGCATGTGTATCCAGTTGATCTGATCAGTATAGACCGGCGCAGTCCAGAGCGAGAAGCCGAGTGTTTGGAGAGGGCCAGAGTTCTGGCTGAGCAGTTCATGGAAAAGGTTCGTGATACTGACGACCACATGTGGAAAGCCGCTGGGACTGATGTAGCGCAAACCGACAGGTGATCATGTTTTTGTGTGAAAGTTTGGCTTTTTTAAAATTTTATTTAAACAGTAAGTAGTGATAATGAACCAGCATTTTTCTAATAAAGCATAAGATTTTCTGTATTTTTTGTAAGAAATAACACCACAATATCTCTGCTTACAGCTTTCCATATATAGGGATTTACTGTTTTTTGTGATTACCTGTTGTAGATGCTTAAAAATCCTTTATGGTCATGCTTAAGCTGTGGACCAAACCTTTAAAACCCAGACTAACCCATCCATTACTCTTTTTTCCCCCACACAGCAGCCCTCAGCAGCCAAGCAGGAGAAAAGAAGATGAAGTAATAACTATTTCCAGGCATGAAAACAGACTGCCAGGCAAACTACACCAGTTTAACACCCTCATCAAGTACGAGCATGAATGTTTTGGAGCACTCAAATCTATGTGACTGAATATGAACACTGACCTCTCTCCTCTTGTTCATCAGGCGTCACATGTATAATGACTTCAGAGACCTGGTCACCCTATTAGTTCACGGCTTCGAGGCCCTCCTCATGTCGCTGCTGGTCGGCTCTCTCTACTACGGGGCAGGAGAAACCCGCCTGTCCATTCAGGACACCGTGTCTCTTCTCTACATGATCGGAGCTCTCACCCCATTTGCTGTGGTGCTGGACGTCATAGCTAAATGTGAGTTATAAAGCAGTTTGAAAGGATAAAGCCAGTAATAAGTGTCACTGAGGTTGTGTTTTGATTTCTCTATGCATTTACTTTAAATTATTTAAGTGTTTTATGTTATAAATGTTCACATGTAATAAGTATCATAAAAAAATTATCTGTTTAAAATAAAGCAAAAATCACTGAAGGCATTTCAAGTTGTGACCTCTGCATTTGCAGTCATTTGCAGATGTCCACAATTTCATTGTACATGCGCAATGACGAAAGGGCTATTCTATTCTATTCTATTCTATTCTTTGAATTAATGATGAACACTTTAACAGAGCAGGTAAAGGTAGGATGGTTCAGAATGGAAAGATTATCAGAGTTATCAGACAGATTTGTGTTCTTTAACCCTGAACTTTATGACATCCAGCCACATGTACAGTGTAGAGGTGTCTAGCCATAACCATAAAAAGTCAAGTTTAATTCAGGTCAAGGTCAGAAGACACCAAAAGATAGAAAAATGATGCCAGGCTCACTTAGAATTAAATACTGCGACTCTAAGTGCAGAGAGAAAATTTTAAAAAATCTCTGAAACTGCATTTTATCCAGTATCATAACATTTATGTAGAGAGACATTGTGCTATATATTCATGTCCTAACCTAATACAACTCTTTGACATCTTAGTTTTTAAGAAAAAAGCAAACTGCCTGGCTGAGGCTAAATACAGCTCATGAAGCTGATCCTACTGCATGTATTGTGAACTGAGTGTCGTTAGACTGAATGCTCTCTGCAGGTCACACAGAGAGAGCCATGCTTTACCACGAGCTGCAGGACGGCATGTACTCTGTGACCTCTTACTTCTTTGCCAAGGTAAAGTCCAGTGATAAAACTGAATCTCCAGCAGGGGCCAGTCTTGTTCCATGCTGGAGTCACTGTATGCTGAATAGTACTACAAGTATGTTTTATGCATTCTTGACTGTCGTGTATTTTTGAATATATGCTTTTTCTCCATTTTCAGGTTTTGGGGGAGTTACCAGAACACTGTGTGTTCACATTAGTCTATGGTCTGCCCATCTATTGGCTGGCAGGACTTAACAAGGCGCCAGACCGTTTCCTTCTGAACTTCTTGTTAGTGTGGCTCATGGTTTACTGCAGCCGGGCCATGGCTCTGTTTGTAGCTGCTTTGCTTCCCACCCTGCAGACTTCTGCCTTCATGGGCAATTCTTTGTTCACCGTCTTCTACTTGACTGCAGGCTATGTTATCAACCTGGAGAATTTGTGGCTTGGTGAGGAATTATTTGTGTTATAAACCATAAACAGCAGGCGACAGCTTCGGAAAGAAAAATGAGCTGGTCAGCATTTAATGTTTGTTCATGTTTTTTGTCTCCACAGTGGCATCATGGCTCTCTTATGCCTCATTCATGCGCTGGGGTTTTGAGGGCATGCTGCAGGTGCAGTTCAGAGGCAACGAGTATTCCGTCACCATTGCAAACATGTCTATCAATGTTGATGGCATACACGTGAGTTAAACACTATCATTTCAACTCAAGTTATGATTTGTTTACACATTACTGTTAGGTTTGCTATTATCTGTACAGATATTAAATCTTTAAGATTTATAGGACTAAACAAATCAGACCATAAGAGAGTTATCAGGACTATTAATGTTTTTAAGGACCTGCTAATTCTTACTTTAATGGACAAATCCATTTGATGAACATTTTTCTCCTCTAATCCTTTCTGTATGTCATTCAGGTCGTGGAGGCCCTGCACATGAACCAGTACCCGCTGTACTCTTGCTACTTGGTCCTACTTGGAGTCTGTCTGGGCTTCATGGTGCTCTATTTCCTGTCCCTAAAATTCATCAAGCAGAAGTCCAGTCAAGACTGGTGAACAAAACTGAGAAAAACCAAACGCACTCTGACATCATCAGGGTTTTTATTTTGCATAAGTGGAAGGGAGGTTCTAGTTCGGCTGGTTTCGATACCAAACTTTCCATTTTATTCCTCTTTAGACATTTAATTCAAATGCTATAAAAGTAAAATACATGCATGATTAAAATGTTTAGATTTTTGTAATTTCAGCATCACAAACTTTACCCGTGTAATGGGAAAAATATTCATAAAATACTATATTTACTCATCTGAAATATTTCAAAATGCTGCCATCGTTTACGGTTTTAATCTGCCAACAGAAAAAGATTTACAGAAGAAAAAGTTGAGCGTGGCGATGAAACAGTTTGGAGTCGCAGTGCCGCTGCCTGCTGCTGGATGGCAGCAGAGGACTGTCGTAACATTGATTTGAAAATAATGAACTTTTCTCTCGTTCGCCCTCTTTTTCCCAGGCATGGCAGATGATTAGAGCGCTACTTTAGCAGATATCAATCTGCAGCTTTTGCTTGTTCCATTTTCGATATTCTCAGCGTTATCTTTTTTTTTGTATATGTGAAGTTATTAAGCATATTATTAAGACAGAATACTGAGCACTGAAGAAAGATGACCAAGAGAAATTTAGTAGGCCAACTCACACTCGGAAAAAACTTCTTGTGTAGACTGAATGCTATGTAAGCTGTGAGTTTTTGCACTGGTGCAAAAGCCTCTTAAATCTTTTTTCTAACGTGGTTTGAGCCCAAATTAGTAAAGTATCGTCTCAAAATGCCTCACTTCTGCGTGTTTATGTTTGGTTTGTGCACTCATCCTCAGCCTTCACATTCACTTACACGATGGAGTTCACTGGAGCTCTGCAGCTGCTTGAAAATTAAACTGGAAGTGTAATTTTTCTTTCTTTTTTTGTGTGTATCATCCTTCGCATCACGGCTATTTTGGCAACACGCAATACTCCTTTATGCAGAAATATTAGGGGGATATTAAGTTTATATATCACCATAACTTAGAAAACATGCTGGTTCACATCAGAAGTTCCTTCTGTGCCTTAATTTGTTTTCCAAATGAGCTCCGCTGACCTTAACAAACCCGCAATCTTGGGGAAAAACCAGTGAGTGTTATCTAAGGCCTGGCTCTGAGAGGGCTGCGGGCATTGCATTACATGAATATCTAGGGAATATCTGAGGCCAGCACAGAGTTCAATGTCGAGTAGAGGAGAGCTGCAGAGAGCTGGGGTTAGACAGCATAAGGTCATCTATCAGTCAAGCAAAATGTCTCCCAGATCAGATCAATGGCTACATGTCTTGCATGAAAATGTATCTACACATGCAGCTTTCTGAGCAGACTGTGTAGGATGGCATGTTTGAGCCTATTTTATTGTTTCATGGCTTCAAGACTGTCACAGGTACACTAATTGTGGGGATGCCAATCACTTGAACAAAAAAAGGAAGGGAAAAAAAACCAGGTCAGGACCCCGGTATGTGCCCTTGACCTTGCACAAGCTGGTTGTTATTGATACCTAAGCTTTCTTTTTTTTTTTTTTGCCTGTCCCATTTGGCTCTTTTGCCATCAGAATTATTGTCTAAAGGCAAAGAAAGATGCCCAACGGATTTACTTTACCAAATTGACCATCCCAGCCTTGCTGTAATGGTCCATTTGAATCACCTTTTATTGTTTATTTTATTTTCACTTGCTGAATACGGGACAGACTTGACTGGAGGAAAGAAGGGGAGAAAGAAAGAGGGAAAGAGAAACAGCTGAGAAGAGGGACGGGGGAGAAGGGCAAAAAAACCAAAAACCAACAGAACGGGCAGAGAAAAAATGCATCTATCGATCACCTGGATCACCTGCTGAGAAAGAAAAAAGAAAACAAGCAGAAGAGAACAAGAGTAATAGAATAAACAACATCACAATGATATATGGGAATATGACAGTAAATACTAAATATTAAACATTATTGTGCAGCACATAAGATCAACAGAACACAGTGTGCTTTGAGGTAGGAGCCAAAAGGGGTGTAGTTTGTGGGTGTGATCAGCCGTGTGTACACCTGTGAGCATGGACGCGCTTGTTTTTTGTTTTTTTAAAAAGGTTCCTTCATGTAATGATCTGCTTGAGGGTGTGGGGGGGCCACAGCCCCGTCCTCCAGGGCATGAAGCAGGTATGGAGGAGATCAAAACTCCAGACATCCAGAGGCCCCCAGAACACAAGAGACCAAGGAAGACCAACAGAGGGGCAGCCGCGCCACTGTTCCAGTAAGAGCTGAGGAGAGTCCCAGATGAGGGCTCACCCAGCAGCCGCGGAGCAGAAGCCAGGGGGAGTTGCAGTGACGCGCCCGTGAGCTCCGCCGGCAGCCAGCTGTGCCTGAGTGACCGACCTCCGAAGTGGCCCGAGCGAGCCCCAGGCTCCAGGCCCCGATAAGCGGCCGCCAAGGAGTGAGCCGGTGTGTACCTGGATGCCCATCCCCGGACACAAAGAACCACCAACGCACCGATGTCTGAGGGAGTCCGCCACTGGCAGGGGAAGTGGTGGTGGGGGGATACCTAAGCTTTCTTCACACACGACAATGAAAGTCTAAATTTTCTCTATGCTCACTCAAAATTCAGACTTACAGACCAGGACCTGCTAGATTGCTGAATTCACAAACATATGGTAGCTAATTATGTGCGATGGGAAAACCTGGAACATTCAGTGCACAAACACTGGAAATATAGTATGTAAGCCACACCTTAAACTTAAGACCAAAACAAGCATTTCAGTGTTTGAAATATAATTTTAATATTGCAAAAACAGTCAAACATACATTAATATATTTGCGAGCTTCAACACTTCTTTGAAAAGGACCTTTAATAACATAAATTTCCAAATTGTGTTTGTTTCTAGCCTGCCGCTGGAAATGACCTTACATAAAAAAGGAGGAAAAAGCCCAACATTAGATTAATTATGACCTTTGACTCAAAATTAGTCATATATCCATCCATTCATCTCATTTCTTCACATTTCTTCAGCTTCACATTGTTGCTTGGGTATATAGATTATAATGTAGGGTATATGACAAATACAAAACCTATTCACTCATGTGTTTTTACACATGCTTTAAAACCGGTATTGCATTTAATTATGTGTTTAACTTGTGCAGAGGCCCTCAAAAAGCTCAAGTCAGAAACTTGAGCGTTGGTGATGTAATGCACATGCAACACACGGCTCCAGTCATTTTGGAGATCCACCTGAAACATGATGAAGAATTTATAGGTTTTGTGGGTATAACTTAATTCTGTAAAGTAAAAGATGCACTACCTTGAAAACTGTTGTTCTTGAGTAAATGCATTTTGTCCCCTGAGCTGCACCCGATTAAGACATAAAACATCACCCAAGGTGGGCTGGGTATTGTGAAAATAATTTTTCTTTTAATTGCACAAAAACCTCACACACTCGGTCTGGGTTCCTACCATCGTTTATTAGGATAAATACTTCTGTACATTAGCAACATGTTCAACAGTATTGATACCGCAGTGGACAGAATCTCAGCATCCAAAAGTTACAACACTCAACATTTCAGATTGAACAACTCATATTAAAAAAAGAAAGAAAGGAAGAAAATTGTGGGATTTGCAATGAGGTATGAGGAGAGGATGATTAATCTTTATTCCTCCGCTGTCGCCTGGGCTTTGGCAGCTCTCAGCTTGTCTGCATAAAACTTAAAGGACTCCTGCAAAGAGAAAGCAAAGGCAGACCATTCAGCAACAAACATCCCAACACCTGCTCACCTGATGCAGCCTTACACCGTAAGGCGTGTTTTGTATCTCGCCTCTTTCTTAAAGTAAGCGGCACTGGAGCCCTCCTGGGTCCGTCTAAATAGTCTCCAGTCTCCAACCAGGTTGTCTCGTTTCATCTTTAAATCCCCATTAATACACAAATAAGGGATTTGTAGCACATTCCCCAAACACGCACTTCCGTTCTTTGCCTCTGTTCCTGGCTAATTAATCAGTGTTTTGATCCAGACAAAGTGTTGTGGTGGGTGTTTTTGGGAGGGGGAGAAGGTGAGAGCTTTTCTGCAGATTACGCCAGCTCCTTACAATGTACGTTTGCTTATTAATGTAGTAATTAATGCCGATAAATCGCCGTGCTCACTACAGAGAGGGAGAGGGAGATCCTGGCACGCGTTTCAAACAGTTTCGAGGGGGTCAGAGCACCCTAATTAAAAATATCTTATTTCCTCTAAAGGTTTGTCCACATGTTGGCTTATTTGGCTACATTCTGACGAAGTTCAAAGCATTTAGAAATAAAAAGAAATAAAACTGAAACATTTCTTTTTGGAAACGGGCTGCCAGAAAATGCAAACCTCTATACATTCAGAGAGGATGAAGACCAGCGTCGGGAGCTGCGCTTTTATTTGTAGAAACTTCTCAACTCTGTGACTCTTCACCTTTCCCTCTCCTTGCAACTCTCCTCCCTCTACTCTGTTTATAAAATCCAGCAATCACTTAACTACCCTGGTGTTCAGTAAATAATGTAAGAGCTTCTCTACCTTCATCCCCTCTTTCTCCTTCTATCTTCGTACTGCAGGTGAGTGATGTGAAGGTAAGGCTCCGGCCTATACCTGCCTCAAGGGGACAGCGCATCAAAAGTGCTGTGGCTGAGAGGCCTCTGTGTGTGTGTGTGTGTGTGTGTGTGTGTGTGTCCTCTGCTAAAAATAGACCCACATCAGCTTAAAAAAAATGTTCATCGTGCTGAAATGCTCAAAAACACTATGAACCCAAAAAGAAGAGTGGCTATTGCAGTGACACCATCTCCCTTACACAACTCCGTGACTCTGGGGCGC